TGAATAAGTAGACAGTTGTAGAGCCTGAAGCTATTTTTCACAGCATGGTCATTCATTGGAGCTTTTGTTGAAATACAAACCAGATATCTATTATTTTTTTGTCTTTGCTGATCTCTAAGCTATTGGCTGACCGTACATTCTCTTTCTTCTGGATTTGTCCTGGCCGGGATTTCTACATTTTGTCTGAATTTTGGCTGAAGGTAATGACTGAAAAGTAGTTTGACCAATAGCATGGAAGTGCACGAAGGTGGGATCTACTGAGAACGGTCAAAGCATGATGCAAATACACATACATATAATGTATGAGGACTGTAGAGAGCACATAATTAGGAAAAGAAATGCCGAAATCCTGGCCATGACACGTACAAAAAACAGGGAAATATTGTCTGTGTTTGATAACTAGAATTTGTTGCTACACATCACACTGAAATGGTTTGACAAAAGCAATTTTCTTTCCTATTTTTTCCTATATTGAAACAAGAAATGTTAGTGGAAGTTATCAAAAACAAAGCCAGTTAGTCCCTGCTGGTAGATGCACAAAAGTCCAGTTTAGATTTCATTGAGCCTTTAAAAATGTACAGTTTATGAAAGTTATGCTTGCATATTCCAAGATGATATTCTGGGCTACTGGAGAGGAAAAACTCTGTGAGATGTTGTGTGTGCAAAATCAATAATGGTAAACAATCATCCCACTAGGATCACATTGTTAGGTCTGTCAGTCCAGTGTTGATTGATTTGCCTGACTCAGCCATGCCAAGAATCTCTCTCTTTCTCTCTTGTTGGGGTGTCTCCAGGAAGAATACTGGGTGAGTCAGTTGCTTAGAGAGGGGAGGAGTTGTAAGTTTTCACAGTCAGTCATTTTTCTACAGTCTTTGAACACACCATCCTAATCAGGCTGGGGAGGGGGATTCACCACAGCAACTGGAGCTGCTGCTTCCTCTGTGTGCTGCCAAAAATAATCTTCCCAAACAGTATTTCTGTCTTGTTTTCCTGTTGAAAAATCTACACTTCCTTTTAATTACATACAGTTACTTGAGATGCAAAATTGTATATGAAGATTATATTTTAAGTTTTTTAACCCCTCATTTTCATTGCATGTCATTTTCTGAAACCATATACAGGTATATGTCTGATTTTCCAGTAAAAAAAATCTAAACCTCTTTAAAACAATATGCATTTACATCAGATGCAAATCACAATAAAATAATCTTAGAGATTGTATTGTGAAGTAATTTAATTTTTTTTAAATATATTTTTTTCTCAAACTCGTGGCAGTTATGTTCTGAAAAGGTATTATGTTCAATTTTCCAGTAAAAAAAGGAGAAAAATTCTAAATATCTGTAAAACAATGTACATTGACTTCAGAAACATCATTTTATAGTACCTATTTTAAATTCTTTACTTTAATTCGTTTAAAAAATAAATTAAAAAAATTCTGAAACAGTATTTATCATTATTTTCCTGTAATGAAGAAGTATATTGCATTCCTTATTTACTTGTTCTATATATTATTTTATTTTTTATTAATTTTTTTTTTTTTTATATTTTTTTATTTATCTGTGTTTTTGTTCTGTCACTGTCATTCTGTTGCACTGTGGAAGCTTCTGTCACGAAAACAAATTCCTCGTATGTGGCTGGGGAGGGGGATTCACCACAGCAACTGGAGCTGCTGCTTCCTCTGTGTGCTGCCAAAAATAATCTTCCCAAACAGTATTTCTGTCTTGTTTTCCTGTTGAAAAATCTACACTTCCTTTTAATTACATACAGTTACTTGAGATGCAAAATTGTATATGAAGATTATATTTTAAGTTTTTTAACCCCTCATTTTCATTGCATGTCATTTTCTGAAACCATATACAGGTATATGTCTGATTTTCCAGTAAAAAAAATCTAAACCTCTTTAAAACAATATGCATTTACATCAGATGCAAATCACAATAAAATAATCTTAGAGATTGTATTGTGAAGTAATTTAATTTTTTTTAAATATATTTTTTTCTCAAACTCGTGGCAGTTATGTTCTGAAAAGGTATTATGTTCAATTTTCCAGTAAAAAAAGGAGAAAAATTCTAAATATCTGTAAAACAATGTACATTGACTTCAGAAACATCATTTTATAGTACCTATTTTAAATTCTTTACTTTAATTCGTTTAAAAAATAAATTAAAAAAATTCTGAAACAGTATTTATCATTATTTTCCTGTAATGAAGAAGTATATTGCATTCCTTATTTACTTGTTCTATATATTATTTTATTTTTTATTTATTTTTTTATTTTTTATATTTTTTTATTTATCTGTGTTTTTGTTCTGTCACTGTCGTTCTGTTGCACTGTGGAAGCTTCTGTCACGAAAACAAATTCCTCGTATGTGTAAACATACCTGGCAATAAAGATCATTCTGATTCTGATTCTATATTCATGGGAGAAGCCAAATTGTTATTGTGTGGGTGCTTTTGTGCACCTGTATTTGTGTGCATGGATGTTTTTTTGGCCTCTGGCTCAGATCATCAAGGTGGTTGCCCTCAGTATTTTGTACATGTTTTGAACTGGAGACAGGAGGGAGGGGGAACTCAATGTCATTTAGTTTCCTCTGGCATTCCAGCACCTTCTCACGTCTACACCAATTACTACTGCCTTCTGATGGGTTCAGTATGTGCACCGTCACTTTTGATCACACCTCACAGGAACACGAGCACCGTGACTTCTTTCTGACATGATATCTCTAACAACATGCCATACTCCGTCATGCATGGAAACAGACGTCACGTTTGTAGCGGTGACTCATGTTTCAGTAGGCCGTTATGCTGCTGCATGTTTCTATCGCCTCTCTCCTCTCCCTCACAGTTTAGAGACACTGCTGTTCCTTCTAGGTAAGCTGTCAGGAAGCGAATGAAAGTGTGGCTAATTGTTTGTGTTGATTAATATGAGATCATAGCTCGTCTCAAGCGTCGTCTAATTCCAGATGGAAGTCTGCTGCAAAATGTCACCCATCATAATGCTCCAGAAATGTCGAAAGTTTGGTATTTTAATGAAGACATTTGGGCAAAATTGTACAAGTGTGCCAGTGGCTGTCATTGCATGTGAGTGTGTACAGATTTGTACATGGCTCTTAAAGAAATATGCCTATAGTTCAGTACAACTGTACATCATTTGTGGCATAATGATGTTAATTACCAGATAAATTATGTTCCACTTTTCCCTACTTTTTTTTTTTTTTAATAAAAGAAAAAAAAAATCAAAACTCATCTCAAAAATTTTTTTTTTTGATCCTTGTGGGGACAATTTTTAGGTCCCCATGAGGAAACAAGCTTATAAATCTTTTTTTTTTTTTTTTCAAAAACGCAAGAACCCAATATGTGTTAACATGACTTTAATGTGAAAAATCATTTGCAAACCTTTTCTGTTTAAAGCTCTAATTTTACAGTTTAGTTGCCATGAAGAAGTTATGCCTAAAATGGCAAAAAAAAAGTGCGTTTATAAAATTATAAGCTTCACATTTCTGCTTTTAAATGCTTCAAAATTTGTCCCCATTAACTTCTGTTGTAAGTGCCTTACTGTAACGTTGAGATGAGGAGTGAGTAAAAAAATAAAAAATAACTTTCCCTTTAGATTAGGGCAAGCATACCGATAGTAACGTAGTTGTTTGTAGTAGTTAATATGATAATATGCACGCTAATATGCAGCTACCTTTTTTGTGGTAAGCAACATTGTGCCACAAATATATTTGTGTCAAATTAGCTTTTGTATTGAACTTGAAAATTCCTTGAAATCATCCTTGTTAGAACACTACCACTAAAATGTTAAAACTATTTTTTTAAAGTAAATTTGTCTACTTGACTAATCAGCTAGCCGTTTGCCAACTAGTCGACCATCCTGGCCCATCCTTATTTTTGAGAACCTCCTCTTTTGTTCATGACAATGTATCACTGTACCCACTGCTCTGGCATGGATCGTATAAGTAGGTCACATGTAGTCTAGTTTAGATAGTAGTGCTGTCTTTCAATTGTACCGAATGTACGTGAATGCCCTCAAGAGCTCATTCAGACAGAAAAAAGTGAAGAGGTTAATATGAAAACATGAGTGGTCAGATAGCTTGAGTTTGAATATGAGTTCTCTTAATAAAATGATTGTGTTATCTTATTCAGCTTATGTGGTGCTTATCAAATCACAGCTGATGTTGATGGGAGTTATAAGAGATATGAAAGTGGAGGCTTGGGGTTTTTCTACAGCTCTTTGCATTTCTAGCAGTTGTGTAGGGATAAATTGTGAGCTCACAGTAAAGGCTGGCAGAGATACTTCAATACTTCTACTACTATACATAATTGCCTTAGTTTCATAGATTATGACTGAGGAGCATTTCACTGATTGGTGCAATATTCTCATATCTTTTTACATCATAGAGGCAGCTAATCTTGATATGTAGTAGCATAGTAAATGTCACTATGAATAAAACATCAGCTACAGCAAGGTTAATGATGGATCCCCCCCTCCCCCTGGTGATTGTTCAGAAATTTGATTGGAGGTGAACTAGTCTTAATTCTCATTGGAAAACATTATAGAATCTAATGAAGCCCAGACATGTGCGCATGACATTTTGTATTAGGCATTTGATATAACTGGAGTCTTCATCTCATGTGGTTGTACATAAACTCTGTACATCTTTATACAAAAGAAAAGCACATTGTCAAGATTAAGTAAAAATACTTTTTTTTAATTGTTTAACAAGTACCTTTAGATGTACCTTTTAAATTTAACAAATTTATTTTGTCACCATTTTCAATGTATTTTTATTATTTTTTTCTCATTTTTATGCTTTTGTAAAACCTGTTTGAAAATTAATTTAATAAAACATCTTTTCCAAGTACTTTTCATTTCTTTGTATGTAATACCTGAGAGAAAAACTACTGAGTGCACCTTTAATGGACTGCTTAAATGATCTTTCTTACCGAGTTGTTACTGTTTCAAGGTTTATACCTGGTTTTTGTTTGTTTTTCTGCAGGTGGTGCTTGAGTGGAGTCCTACTGGGAGAAGTAATGCTCTGTGTGTAGACCTTCCCTTATTCCAACCATGAGTCACCAGGAGGCGCCGCATGGCCAGGAGTTGAGAGAGGCGGCTGAGGCAGACCTGGAGCGTAGGGGCCCTGAGGGCCAACAGCCCCCCTCATCCTACCGTAGACGCCATGACAATGGAGATGGCAGCTCCCGCTCCGGTCGCCCCCGCAACCACCACAGCAACCACGGTACGGAGAATAACCACTACCAGTCCCAACAGCAGGGGGCCCCACGTTACCGCAGGTACGAGGGATCTAAAGGAGGGACGAACCGCACACGTGCCACAAGAAGGCCAGCAGAAGAAGGTGATACCGAACAGCAACCCGTTCAGCAGCCCATACCGAGACCTGCAGTGACACGTTACCGCAGACAGGGGGACAACGAGGCCCGAATCCGGGCGCAGCAACAGAGACAGCGACCGCGGGAGAGGCAGCAGAGAGATGCGGAGAGAGCCGAACAGCACAGGCTGGAACAACAACAGCATCTCATCTCTCCTACACAAGCCATGCTGCCCACTAGAGAGCCAGAGGAAGCTGAGGAAGACGAGGGAGATGCCGGCAGCGCTTTGGCCCGATCCGCCAGCACAGAGAGTGGCTTCCACAACCACACAGACCGTGCAGAGGGGGATGCAGTCATGGTCCTGGAAGCAGAGCCTGAAGACGAAAGCACATATGGCATCCCACTTCGCCCGGAATCTGAGGAGTACACAGAGAGCGCAGAGTCGGAGCAACAGCACGGTGGTCCAGCTTACCGCCAACCCCAATACCCACCTCAACCTCCGCCGCTACCTCGAGAGCCCCTGCCCAATGCTGAGAGGCCCCATGACGCAGAAACGATAAACCCCAACTACTCCAATTATGTTTACACTCAACCCATGTACCGCAGTCCTACCAGAGCAGGAGAGGCCCGTGAAGGTGGAGCAACAGAAGATGAGCCATACTCTGAGCCCTACGCTGAATACACCCTTCAGGAGCACGTTTATGAGGAAATCACGGACGCCCCCTCGGCCAAAGCTGAGGGACAGACTCCACAACAGCGCAGGGCAGAGTTCAGGCTCTTCGATCGTGACTTGTACCAGCAACAGGAGGCTGTTGGGTCCAGGCTCCACCACTATGACGAGCGATCCGACGGAGAGTCGGACAGTCCCGAAAAGGAAGCCGAATTTGCCCCGTACCCCCGTGCCGACAGCTGCGAGCAGGATGAGGACATTGACCAGATTGTGGCAGAGGTGAAGGAGAGTCTGAGCTCACAGAGCCTGGAGCGTGTCGCTATGGGCCTGGACAAGGACGGTAATGCAGAAGAAGAGTGGTCTGAGTCAGAGTCACATGGTCAAATGGACGAAATCAAACCCCCGGAGCCAATAAGTGAAAGAGAGGGTGTAGAGCAGCCCCCCAGAAGTCCCTCAGAAGAGCTAGCTCCAGTTGTTAGGAGCAGTCGTGAGAAGAGAGACGCAATCTCACTGGCTATTAAGGACATCAAAGAGGCAATAGAGGAGGTGAAGACAAGGACAGTCCGCTCGCCCTACACGCCAGACGAACCCAAAGAACCCATCTGGGTAATGAGACAGGACCTGAGTCCTACAGCAGAATCTGACTTGCAGCCATCTCTAGGGGCTGATGTGAGTATGAGCCGCACCATGTAAAATGTCGTGTTGATGCTCTGCAGTTTACATTTTTGTAGCATCATCACTGCTGATGTTTTTATTTCTGTAGTATAATCTTGCTTACAGAGTTGCTCTTTAAGGGACAGTTCACCAAAAAAACACAAATTCTGGGACCATATTCTCCTTCCAAGCCCATAAGACTTTGGTTAACCTTTGAAACACAAATGAAGATATTTTTAATAAAAACCTGAGAGGTTTCTGTCCCTCCATTGTCCATGTCCATGTAACCAAACTTCAAAAAAGGTCACAAAGGCCTGTTCATCAAAACCGTTCATCATATAAAGTGATTGTATGTCTACACGTGACTTGAAGTAAACCACTCAACTAATGTGGATTCATTTTACGATACCTTTACAACATTTTTGGTTCTTGGTTACCTGAACTTTCAATGGAGGGACAGAAACCTCTTAGGTTTCATTAAAAATATTTTAATTTGTATATTTAAGGTTATCCAAAGTCTTAGGGGTTTGGAACGACATGAGGTTGAGTAAACAATGACAGGATTTTCATTTTTGGGTGTACTGTCCCTTTAAGCACATTTACATCACACATTTACATTCTTCATCTGTTTGCCCAAGTATTCATGGCACAATGCATCATCAGATATTTGAAGGATTAAATACACATCACCTAAGCTTTTCTTTCAGAGCAAGCACTCAACACAGAGGCCAGTTGTAGTCTAGGTCAGCAAATACTGGATGAGTACAATTTCAGTTGGACTAAACGTTTTAAACTGCTTTTACACTACACGATTTTAGCCCTAATTCTCCACTTGTCAGCAGTTAATAAAACTGAGCCTCAAAATCACAGGCCCGCTCACATAAGTGATGATCACAATGTGTGAATTTTTAAGGATGTGATCTGAGAGATGTGTCAGAGAAGCCCAAGAGCAGGTTAAATGTCTAGACTTGTCTGAGACTCCTGCATTCCTGCAATTTATTTTGACTTGAGACTGATGGATTTGAAGTCGTATCGTTTGTGGGCAGCATTAGTCCGACTGATATTGAACTTGTAAATTAAAAAATAGGAGATTCTGTGATTGTTACATCTGCCTTAACAAACTGCCTTTAAAGCTAATGTTACAAAATTAAATAGCAAAAAGAAACCGGTTTCTCAAACATTTCACCCCACGGCAACTGTTCAGGGTTTGGCTCAGTGTTTTGCTGGTCAGCACTGGTAGTTTGGCCCTGCTGGTAGATGCTGTAACTATACCTTTCTGAGGGCAAGGTTTTCTCAATTGATGTCTGTTAAATTCTAGGTCTGTATTCTGACAGAATAATAAATTATTTGAAATAAAAATATGAATCATTAATATGTCATTATATAATAATATTTTATTTGTTTGTTTACCATTTATAATTTGCCAGTGCCTCATTTTTAAAAGCACTCTTAAAATTATTAAATAATTATTAATTAATTATGAGATATTTTTCCCTGTCTTCTATTCAATAGTGAAGGGTTTAGTTGAATAGAGTGATTAGATATGTAGGCCTATTTGCCTTTATGTAGTTTACTTTATGATATTTGTAGCAGGTGCAGCAAATGACAAAAACAATCTCTCAGGGAGGATGTGTACAATTGCATTGTTGTTCTGCTCGGCTGAAGCAGCCTTGCAGGGTGAATCGCATCATTCTTCTGGTCGTGACTTCATCGCTCTCTCACTGTTCTTTTCTGGAGAGGACGGTGCCACACACTAGTCTCTGTCTCATGAGTGGTGCCTGCCACGGCGCCGGACAAATTGCATGTCGCTAGAAAATGAAGACTGCTCGCACTCATAGAACGGATCTCCTTATCCGTGGCTTGGAAGGCTCATCTATATTCTGTGAGTGCTACACATGACCAGCATGTGTAAATGAAGCTGTCCTGTCCTCAGCCACAACTGTCTGAACAGAGCAAAGAGAGAAAGATGAGCTCTCGGTATAAGTAAGGCAGCAAAATTACCATGTCTTTACTTGATTTACTTTGCTTTTTTCTCACACTCTTTATATCATCCCTCCTTCTCTTTTTTCTTCCCATTAGCTTTGATAAGTATTACCCTTTTTATTAACATAATGAGTAGATGTCATTCAAGTATGCCCACGGTTGGTATTAACTTGATGGTGTCATCTTTAAATTTTTGATATCTTTTCTTTTGTTTTCCATTTACATAATTAATAGATTCAGTGCTGCCCAATTTTACTCAATCGCACTTGAATCAGTCACATTGTCTGTTATCAACACATTACAGAAATACACATACTCTGTCCCACTAAACAAACAACACAAATCCAAGCTCCTCTGTTGTCTGTTTCGACAGTGTTAATTAATCACCATTGTTTGTCTGAGCAGTATTCATGAGCACAAGGCCTCATTTGGACGCAGTTCTTAGGGATCGAGGGCTTTTGGCACTCTGATGAGAGTGAACTTTTCCGTGTGCATTCAGAGAAAAAGTAAAGAATTGCACTTAATTGAAAACTCCCAGTGGAAGCTTAAAGAAGACACCAGCCGCCACCCACTGCAATTATGGTTGAGTTTGTAAATGAATGTGCTGATGATATATTTTTTTTATGTGCCAGCTTATTATTTTTTGCCTCGTATCCCACAACGTATTTTTATTCAGGCAACTGTAGAAAGAGCATTTCTCAGTGTTACAGTATTTTAGTATTATTTACTATTATAGTATTTATTAATATTTTGAATTAGCTTTTATTTGTATATTTTTAGTTTTCATTTTAATTTTTGTTTTAGGCTTTGCTAATTTTGATTATTTTATGTATTTATTTATTTATTTTATTTTATTTACCTTTTTTTTTACTTAAACAGCAATTAGAAATATTGCATGGCAACTAACTAAAATAAATGTTTGTTTTTATGTTTAATTTCTTCATTTAATATTTATATTTAATTTTATTTCAGCTTTAGTTCAATTAGCAAAAATGTTTTTGAATAGTATTTCATAGATTAGGTAACAAATTATAGATTATTTTATAGATTAGTTAACAGTAACAATACTGGTGTTTCCATATGCAGTTAGATCTGAAAGTCTGAGACCACTGATGAAAATGCAATTTCAGATTTGTAACTTTTTTTCAATTACAAATTCTATTCACAATCTCAGTAAAAAGTTGTCAGTTAACATGAATTTGGTTTGTCTTCATTTATTAATAGCAACGCTCAAACTCCACAAGTTTGTGCGACAACCTGATGATCATGTTCTCCAGCATGATTTGAGATGATCCAAAGAACCTCTTCAAAAGTTCATAATCTATTTTTAAAATTCTCACATTTGATTCATGACCTAGAAATAAAGCAGTATCTGTGTCTTGTTAATTTTATATCATAACATTTCATCTGTTTAAAATTAAAAACCGTTGATGATTCTCAACTTCTCAGAACTTAAAAATGATTGTCTTAACGATCTTTGTTCTGATCATGTAAACAATTTTCTGGAGTCTTTCAGTGAATGCTGAACAGTCATGCATCTTGCAGATATCCCAGAATCCCCATTAAAGTTGCTCTGAACTTGGTGGTGTCCTGCCCGCTTCCATTCTCTGTTGTTCTCAGAATTTGACATTTCATCAGAAGCCTGTTATTTTTTCCCTCCACAATATGATTTATTTAGTACAGTAAGAGACGGCCTGTAAATAATTCAGCAAGGCTCATGTAACACTAGAGAAGAAAAACTGCCTTCTTCCCCTGCCCTGCATTAATGCTTAACGTGCTTGAAATGTATTTATTTTTTTATTTATTTTAAGTATTATACATTTCTTGTACAAGTTCACTGTATGGGTAATGTAAAATCCAGGATGTGTTGAATTCAAGTACAAATTCAAAAGCAAGTCAATTATTAATAGTGACTTCTAATAGTATTAGCTAAGTGCTGATTATTCCACCTGTGAACAGAGACTTTAGCAGAAATGAGTGTTTTTCCACAGGCCTGCACTGATGTTGCGTAGTGTAGTGGTCTCTGATCCAAGTCACTCTTGAGCGATCTGTTCCAGGAACAGTTTTCCTGTAGGGCTGTAACAGGAGCCGTGTTCACCTCTGTTGTCTGGAGCCAGTGTGAACTTATCAACGCGAGTTTGATGAGAGAGCTAGAGGCTCTTATGTTCTTCTCTCTCGTACTCTGGTCCAAAGAGCAGCATCTGCTTGATTTGAGTGTATCCTGTGGGAGAATATTTTTCACTGCAGCTTTTGGAAGCATTTATTGATATGGAAAATTTTTGGATGTATCAGGTAGATCGCCGCCATGGTGATGAGGTGAGGAGTTCGTTGTGTGAATGTGCTCTGGGTTTATCTGTCAATGTTTCAGTACTTCAGATATGTTCATTTGAATGATAATTAAATAAATATGCATTCATAAGTTAAAGTGAGAATGTTCTTCTATTTTCATTCTACATATCTGATGATATTATTGTCACGGAGATACATTGTGGGACTGTGCAGTATTTACATGTTATGACAAACATGAACCGAAATAATCTTTTAATATTTTATCCAAATGCGCTCTGGTTGAGGGTATGACTCATTTGTTCCCTAGTATTTCACATTTCGGCCTCTTCAGAGAGATGCGGTGTAGTTTTGAGATGGCAATATAAGAAGACCGATCTCTTATGTACTTTTCTTTTGTAATTCCCCCCCCCTTGACCTGCTGTCTGAACGTTTAACGGATACGTCTGACTGAAACTTGACAGTTTCAAATTGTGTCACATTTTTGCATGTCTTTTCATTATACCACAATCGGTTTCATTTACCTCATTGCTTTGCTTTTAAAATTGTAATAAATTGTACTTATTTGTTTATTTTGTTTATTGAAAAAAATGTGAAGACTTTAATTGATCTAATATACTCTAAATGTCACATGAGTAAATGTAGCTTTTATATTTCTTCAATCAGTTGTCCAAAATAATAGACCATAAAGCATGTAATATTAATTAGTATGTCTCTTTTGTCCAGTCACCAGGCTCAGACTCCACCTCCCCACAGGGGGCGGAGTCTTCCAGCCATCACCTGCCATCACACGAGGGGAGTGACAGCTTTGAGTCTCCGTCACCAGCCAGTAAAGAGGTAGGAGGCTATGAATAAACCTCTAAAACTGTGCTGAAATTGGATGATTCTTAATTATTATTGGTAATAAGATCCAGTAGGTGCTCTAGGAACTTAATTAGACCCATATTATAGGCCGCAGCATTAGAGTCCTGACTCAGTGTGATATAGAAGTTATTATAAATTATCCACGATACTGTTGAAATAGATTAATTGGAGCAAATAAAGTTTAAAACATATTAAAGTTTTGCTATTTATTGTGTGTGTGTGTGTGTGTGTGTGTGTGTGTTCATATAAAATAGCAAAGCAAGAATACAGGATCTCGAAATGTAATTACATTTTTTTTAAACATATTTTTTAAAAATGGCCAAACCCTCAATCATTATCTTTAAAAAGCCCAAAAAGTGGAATCTTAGCAGTTCTAAAATCACTGTAAAATACGGCTTCTTGGGATTATATTATATTAATATAATATAATATAATATATTATATTATTTCTGCAAATAGTACCAGTTCAGTGCATTATGAAGTGCCATACCTAAAAATAACAACTTGCCTTGAAGAATGTTGTATTGAGTCATTTGTGTGCTTGTTCTTGTATGTGCAGTCAAGGAGAAGTCTTGCTTCATTCCCGACATATGTGGAAGGTAAGAAGATTTCCTATAATTTCCTTTAATTTCCTCTTCACGTCCGGGTCCTCAGCTACCGAAATGAATCTTGATAGCACATCCTGAGCATGTTTTGAAGATGTTCTGAAATGTCCCTCTCCTCTCTGTTAGTACCAGGCCCATGTGACCCAGAGGACCTCATTGACGGTATAATCTTTGCTGCTAACTACCTGGGATCCACCCAGCTGCTCTCAGACAAGACGCCCTCCAAAAACGTGCGCATGATGCAGGCTCAGGAGGCTGTGAGTCGCATTAAGGTGAGGTGAAACGGTTCTGTCTTTACCCCGCTGTTGTAAACTTCATCGGGCGAAGTAAACCTGAGCTTCTATGAATCTACCTCAAGAAATTTCCTAAGCGATACTTGCTTCAGGAGCAGCATAAATGTTGCAAGAAACCAAAAGTGACAGTTTTAGGACAAAAGAATGGGATTTCATAAGAAATGCAGATCTGTGCTCTGACTGTATCCTGAGCATGTATTTATTGCACAAGCATTTTATTCCTTGTATACAACATGATCAAATTGAAATGTCAGATGAAGAGAGATGATCATAAAACTAAGAGAGTGTGTGGTCCTCTTGAGGTAATGAAATGATTCTGTAGTCAAATGCAGGGACCTATCCTGTGATTCTTGTTCCTAAAGGACCAGAGACATTTAGCACCTCCCTCCTGTTCATCCTCCTGCAGCATAAATCAGCCATTCGCCCTGTCAGCTGCATTACTCAGCATTTTTTACCTCCACCTTAAAAAATGCAATGACCACCGCACCTATGCCATTTAGTGTTCCTTCAGCATTTTCCTTTGTATGTACATTTTGTGTTAAAATGTTCGATTACAGATCGCTGTGTGGTACGGCACACAACAGTATCGGACTGGTTGATTGCAATTTTTTTTTAATTATGAGGTCACTGAATGTTAAATGGCATCAGATTCTTCTGTTTTATCAAATTGACCAAGGTAGTCTTACTAGATAAGCTAGTAATACTAGTAAAGCAGCATAATAAGGATACTAGCATCCCATGCTAGAGACCTGAGCTCAAAACATATACTGGTACTCTAGGAATGCACTTGTATTAAGATTCTAGATGATTATTATAAGCTGATATATACACACACACACATTTTCTAATCTAAATGTAAAATAGAGGAGATAAGCTGCAGAATTTAATATCCAATATCTCCTTACACGTTATATATCCAAAATTGATTGATAGAAATAAATAAAGAATAAAATAATATAACATCCCTATGTTCTGGTCTACAAAATATGAGATGATATTATCTTCTTAGCAGTTATAGTTAAAGGGTTCCTCAAATGAATTTTGGTCAAATATTAATGTGAAACCTTCACACTAATTTAATGTTTACTGAATTACAGTCAATATACGGTGCTGTTGTAGGTTATTTGATTTAACGGGTTTGCTTAAAAGGCAGAGTCAGGGACGTTCTCATATTTTAAAAGACATAACTTAAAAAATGCATTAGTGATCTTGCAGCCTTCAGAGAATGACAAATAGCATGAGGTCTTTACTGACCGTTTTTCCACTTTTCTTATAATGGAGAAGGATCCCTCCATTATAAGTGGGATCAGTTCAATGTGGGCCAAATAGATGTCAAATCTTCAGATTGATGCACTGGACCCATTCCTTTGCAAATATGTAAATACATATAGGTTATACAAGAACCACTATATTTTATTTTCTGTATGTAATCTCTGTTATTAAATACAATTGAAGATGATCATAGGTTATGAATTCTTTGTTTTATTGGGTCACACTTCATCTGCATGTGTGAAACATCGTACCTTCTCCCATACACAATCATGAGCTCAAAATCAGTGAGATTCCTGAGGGCGTTTTTAATAGCATATGAAGTATATAAAGCAAGTGTAAATTGCATGCATTTGGAGAGACGTCTGAATCAATACCCCCTGCCTCAGCTGCCGTGACGTGAATCTTCCTTAGATGGCCAGTTTGATCCATTACCAGAGCCTGCTAGCAAGTTTGAACTTGCTCTTAATCAAATTTTCAGCAGAGCTCATCTCTGCTTTGTATAGTCGATTTTTTTATGAACAGAATGCTCTGTAATATAAAACCAATAGTTGACATATGATATTAAAAGAACAAATGGGCCACCTGGTGGATGATGGCACAAATTACCATGAAATGAAACCAAAGGCAACATATTGTAGCAGGGTGGTGTCTGGTAAGCTTGGCTTGGTGTCATCTGGATCCATTCTAGTCACCCTACGCTGATAAATATCCCAGAAGTCACTTTTCAGATGCAGCTTATTGGAGCAGAAATATTCCCCAAATGTGGTTGGTCTTGCTGCACTCTGTTTTATCTAACAATGTTCCTGTCTTTGTTTGTTCCATGCTAAGCAGACGGCCCAGAAATTAGCCAAAAACAGGAAGAAGGTGCAGTAATTGCTCATCGGTTTGGTGTTTTGTTTTTATTTTTGTTCTTCGTCTTCTCTTTTTTTCCTGGTTTCAGCACTTCAGTGTTTTCATATTTCCTGTCGCTCTGCCATTTTTCTGAATCCAGCAATGAGTCATGTACCTGTGTCCGTCCGCACAGTCTGTTAGCCATTGTTCATTCCACACCAAGCATTACTTCAGTTTTATCACCAGATCTTACATGGGGAAGTCATGGAATAAGTTCAAATCAGGAAAGTCTAGTTTGCTGGATACAGAAAATGCAAGTGATTTTTACTTTCTTCTTCTGTGTATCATATATTTTTCTTTCTGAGGTACTGTGCTGTGTTTGTGGCTGTTTTTGAAGGTGTATATCTGGCACAGCATGTTTTGCACTTCTCTTGATCTTTTCAATTCAGCCTGTCCTGCACATGGTGGAAAACTCTCTCAGTTTCTCTCTCTCTCACTGAATCTCTTCAAATGAAGAACAAAACTAACCAAACTAACCCCATGCCAACTTGCAATACTAGCTGGCTTTAACAGAAACGTGCAGGTTATCAGAGTTACACAATGAAGGAGAGAGTGAAAAAGAATTTTAATATCTGGCCTTGAAGATGCCAAATTTTAGAGATGCCTTGTTGCTTGCACGCACGCTCCTTCGTGGCATCTCTGGGTCTTGTCAGCTCTCTCTCTCTTTCTGTCTTAGAGTTATTCTGTCACTGTCTCTCTCAGTGAGTGATATTGTGTGGTTTTCTATCTTCAGGCTCCAGAAGATGAAGCTCAGCCCATGACAGAGGTGGACCTCTTCATTTCCACTCAGAGAATCAAAGTGCTCAATGCAGACTCACAGGTACTTCATCATCCATAAACGTGATTTTGGTTTCACCCAAATTACCATTACCTATGCCAAACTGGGTAGAAGCACACTACATTTGACCAAAACTGCACAAAATACTAGTGCAGACATCCTATGTATCACAAGGAGGCAGTGTCCAGATAGAATATTTGTGTTTTACAGGAGTCATGAGAAATCAACATTTTCTTGATCATCTAAAAAATGAAACTGTACACTAATGTTTAAAAGTTTTCAGTTGGTAAGACTTTAATTTTCAAAGAAATTAATACCTTTATTCATCCAGGATGCAAAAAATGTATTAAAAGTGACAGTAAAGACATTTGTAATGTTACAAATTTCTATTTCAAATGTTAAGTTCAAATACTACTCTTTTGAATTTTCTATTCATCAAAGAATCCTTTTTCATCAAAAAAAATTAACAAAATATTAAGCAATACATCTGTTTAAACATGTTCTTAAATCTGTTTAAATGTTTCTTGAACAGCAAATCAGCATATTAGAATGATTTCTGAAGGATGGAGATTCTTGGGGTGGTGATCGTGGAGTCGGGCTGGGGCTCCATTCTGCCCACAGTTATTATAGCAAACATGATGCATGGCGGTCCGGCTGAGAAGTCCGGCAGGCTGAACATTGGGGACCAGATCATGTCCATCAATGGCACCAGCCTGGTGGGGTTACCCCTCTCCACCTGCCAGAGTATTATCAAGGTACAGCGGGTGCAAAATCAAGTGTACTTCAACACAATAATTCATTAAATTCAAAGATTTAATTCTGATTCTCAGACGTTCACTGAATTTATTTGTGGCCAATTCTTTTAAATTTAATGTATTGCATAAAACATATTGCTCTTATCTTCAAGGGATTGAAGAACCAATCAAGAATAAAGCTTAACATTGTGAGATGCCCACCTGTGACCACTGTCCTCATCAGAAGACCAGACCTGAGATATCAGCTGGGATTTAGTGTGCAGAATGGCATTGTGTGTATTCTGAAAAATAATTGAGTTCGGCATTGGCTAATATTGCATATTTGCATGTATATTTAAATGTGCATACTCATTTCCTGTATTTTTATGTTTATATATTACCTTTGCCTTCATCTAACATTCACTTCAAGTTAATCTTTAAAAACATTAATAACAACAATATTAAATGTCATTTTTAGCAGATCTCTAAATATCATTTTTTTTGTACTGTACCATATAATGTTATGAAGCCTAAAATCACTTGTAGCATTTAAAATAATTAAATTGTATTTTTTAGTGTTTTTAATGTATTTAAATTTATGTAGACAAAATAGTAGGGAATATCAGCTATTCAATATCACCTGTTTATCATCCTTAACAGTAAAATAATTATTGTTATTGGCCAGATTTTTAATAATTTAATGTTGTAATAGTTTGTAATACGTATTACAGTAATGTTTTCCAATAGTTACTTGATTTGGAATGAATTAGGTCGTTATAGTTAACTAAAAAAAAAAACCTGTTTGTTACTTAAAAAAAATTAAATGTTAACCAAAATAAAACATAATAGAACTTAAACTTATTTTATTTCAGCCAGTTGCCAAAGCAACATTTCTCATTTTCATTTAGTTTAACTTGATGAACTAAAATAAATAAAACTAAAGTAAAAACTATATAGGCATATTTTACTAATAAAATGACAAAAACACAATTACTAAAACTTTAATTGAAAATGGAAAATACAAAAATAAAAACGAATTACAAATTTTAAAAACTATAATATCTCAATGATAAATTAAAAATAGCACTGGTCTGAAGGAACTGTAATAATATATTTAAATAATAATATTTCACATATTACAGTTTTTACTGTATTTTTGATCAAATAAATGCAGCCTTGGTGAGCATAAGATACTTCTTTTATTAAAACATCTTACCGACCCAAAACACACACACACATATATATATATATATATATATATATATATATATATTTATATGTAAATCATATCCTGGTTCGCAGGAGACCATGATGGACCACCCTTTAAGGACCATCTCCTACATCGCTGATATTGGGAACATCGTGGTGTTGATGGCCAGAAGGAAAATGCCTCGCTCCGACTCTCAGGAGAACATGGAAGCCTCTGACCCGGCCCAGGACGAGAAGCGCCAATACAAGATGATCTGTCACGTGTTTGAGTCTGAAGATGTGAGTTCTTCATCCTAACTATGTGTCAGTGTGACCGTATCAAACGACTGCTAAAGGAGGCTGTCGTAGCGACAGTTTCAATTTATTGCTTCAGCATTGTAAAACGATATAACAGATTTACACACTTTGCTATTCTGCCGTTGTTGGAGCCTTTACACTTTTTCCACGTTTAATCCTCCATATTTGCCTAATTCTTCTTAGTCCGCCCTCACATTGTTTCCCAGCATGTTCAGTATTGCAGTTACTGGGCATTGTGGTGACCTCTAATAGCATTTATCCAGATGGTGTTCCTGGGCATCTTGCTGCGTGGGTTGAATCAGGAGACAGGATGTGACCTTTTCTCTGTTCAGCTGCAGAGGCTATTTGAATTTAAAGAGCCAGTATATGTCACAGCACAGCATACAGCAGTGACATGAGGGCAAAAGGCATGTATTCGGCTGTCCTGAGGAACGCCACCCTTGTCGTCTCTTGACCCATGTGTGTATCTGTTGTCTTTAAAAAAAAAAAGTGCTTTCTTCCAAAAATGGTTAGATAAATCAAATTGTAAGCATGCAATGTAATGTGTTAGTTATGGATTATAATTTTAGTTGTTTAACCTGATTCCTCTTTGTTCTCAGGCTCAGCTCATAGCTCAGTCCATCGGCCAGGCTTTCAGTGTGGCGTACCAAGAGTTCCTTCGTGCCAATGGCATCAACCCAGAGGATCTGAGCCAGAAAGAGTACAGCGACCTCCTTAACACACAGGACATGTACAACGATGATCTCATTCACTTTTCCAAGTCTGAGAATTGCAAAGATGTAAGTGGACAGCCCATGCCTTGTGGAAACAGAAGATTACTGTGAAATTTTGAGAATGTGCCTCGATAATGTTAGAATTATCAGTAATGTTGACTAGAGCATGTTTTAGCAGTGATATGTGTGTGTGTGTGTGTGTGTGTGCATTTTCATTTAGTTTAACTTGATGAACTAAAATAAATAAAACTAAAGTAAAAACTATATAGGCATATTTTACTAATAAAATGACAAAAACACAATTACTAAAACTTTAATTGAAAATGGAAAATACAAAAATAAAAACGAATTACAAATTTTAAAAACTATAATATCTCAATGATAAATTAAAAATAGCACTGGTCTGAAGTACAACTTTATTGTATTTTGCATCCTCCAGATTTGCAGTCTGATGAGAGGAGGGATAGCAGAGCGCGGTGGGGTGCGTGTCGGCCACCGGATCATTGAAATCAATAGCCAGAGTGTTGTGGCCACCCCTCATGAGAAGATTGTACACATTCTGTCAAATGCAGTTGGTGAGGTAAGTCTGGGGAACACGATCAAGCTCCATGGTGCCACATTTGCCTAACAACATAATATTTTCACATCACTATTTCTCCAATGAGGTAATTTATTTAAATTATGATCAAGAAACTATGGAAACTTGGTGCCGTGTTTAGCTCTGTTTCATGTAGATCACAGGCTGTCAACAATGGCCCCAAAAGTTTTTTGTACATTTTTCTCAGAAGTATTTTTGCAATGACTAAATCAACCGGTGTCAATGTGAGTTTTGTATGAATTTCACAGAGGTGTCCTATCAGAGTAACCACAGGTGTAGTTCATCGCATTAACTACGAGCATGATTCACTAACATTTGACAACCAGAAAGTGTCCAAACATGCTGGCAACGTCTGAAATCGCATACTGTCTGAATATAAAGTTCTTTTAAAGAAGTCATTTCTTTGCAACCGGCAAAATAATATGAATGTAATCTGAATCTGAATATTCATTCGCCATGTTATTATCATCTGACCTACCAGTGTCACTGCCATTCATAAATCCCATGGCCTCATGGGATAGAAAAGTGTCCACCCAATGCTCACTTTAGGATCTCGCTGGAAGTAATAGGTCATCCAGGTACTTTTTCGTCTACTGTTTTGTGAATACTGTGAAGTCGGACATACTACTACTGTTTTTTGCCTACTATATCGTAGGGAAGTATGCGATTTTGGATGAAGCCTTTGTCTTAGAGAAATGTTCCGGGTTCAGTACAAGTTAAGCTTACATTTTATGAATTAAAAAAAAAAAAACTGAGGTTTTTACAAGTTAATTAAATTAGGCTGATCGATAAATGTTAAAATACTAAAATATTATAAAATACAGTAGTATAGCCACAAGATGTAAACAACATGTTGCATGTAACATGATTTTAGTGTGAAAAAATCAAACTAACCATTTCTGTGTAAAGTTACTGTATATCCAACTTCAAAACTCACAGTGCAAAACTTACAGTGCAACATCTAAAACAGTAAAACAACTGTAAAAATTAGAACATTTATGAGAAAAATTATGAGCTCAAATAATGCACACGTTTAAACTGAATCATTAATTTAAGTGCTTTTATAAAATTTAAGAAGCTGCGCATTTCTGCTTATAAATCTTCCAAAAATCGACCCCATTCACTTTCATTGATAGTGCCTAGGCCTGGGCAATAAAATGGTGTCGATATTTATCAACGGTACACCTTCGATAACGATAGAAAAAATGTTCGATATAGCGCACGATATAGGCACGTGCTATGAGTGACGCAGACAGCACACACAAACACGAACACATGCTGAAATGAGTGCTGTGCCTGCCTGTGATGAGGAGATTGTGAATAAAGAATGAATATTAGCTGAATTTAAAATAAACATTTGCAATGTTAGGTGTGCGTCAGGAAACGAGATGCGATGATGATGATGTAAGTGACGTTGTTGCATTTTAATATTTTGTTAGTCTAGCCCACGAGATACGCTGCTGATGTTATTCATTCAAAATATTAGAGAAATATTGAAGCTCAATGCGGAGAAGATCTTGATTAGGTTAAAACCAAAACCAAGCCATTCACACAGAACGCATATTCAGCGCATTTTTAGATGGACAAATATGACTGCTGCACTCACGTCTCACACAAGAGATGTATAGAAAGCCATGCAAAGTTAAAACAGTTTAAACTTTTAGAAAACACGTCACGAATTTGTGGAGGTTTATTCCTTTTCACCGCGTCTCATAAGTTTTCAAATGCAATCTGTGTGATTCGGCTCTTTGTATTAAGCAATGCATAAATACATGATGCTGTTTTGTTCATAATTGTTTATACAATTTACGAAATTATATTAGATTTTTTTTAGTTAATTTAGACGTAATGCACGTTTTTTTATAGAGTTACTTCCTTGCCTTGACAATTTAAATGCGCTGCATTATTTTGCTCATTGCGCCCTCCTGTGGCCTCGGGAGACAAGACAAAAGTTTCCTTAAGACCCATTTAATCAGCATATAAAACATTAGAAATTTATTTAATTTTTATTTTGTGTTTGATTGTTAAAAAATATATATATTTGTTGTTTGTCTCAATAAATTGGGTTAATTTAAAAATACAGTGGTTAAATAAAATAAAAAATTCTATTGCTCTTTGTTTTAAAAAAGGTTATAAAAAATGTCAGTAATTATCGATACCGAACGATATGAAACATTATATCATTGATACATTTTTTAGCTATATCGTCCAGCCCTAATAGTGCCCTTTGAAATGTTTTTTTTTTTTGGGGTAATCAACATTATCACAAATAAAGCGTGGTGTTAGTTCTGGCAGGTCAAGCAAGTCAAGCTTGCATTGGCTGACTCTCAGCTGATCCACATCTACCTATAGGAAAATAATGCCTATCAAGGCATTTCTATATAAGGTCTATTCAGTATTATTCAGCAGCTTTATCGCTTGCTCTGGAGCAAATTACCCTCTTCCATCCCCAGCTCCTCCTTTCGTCACAGTCAGGACTTGGCTTTCAGATATTCCTTGTTTTCCCAAATCAGACTCCTTTTATCTTGAATAATGTTATAACACTAAAATGTCATTAAGAATATTAATGATATCTGCTACATTTTTTCTTTCCGTTCTTTTTACTTTGCTGCTCTCCCTGTTCATTCATGACAGGCTGCGTGGATAAGCAGGGAGTTTTTTTGCCCAGAACGGAACCATACCACCAACCCAAACTGTATGCTAGGTGACGGTCATTTTGACGATTGTGGTCCTGACAGAAATGCTGTCATTTGAGCTTAACTTGTATTGAACCTAGAATATTCCTTTAATTTTAAATGCAAAATATACCGTTTTATAACTACTATTTGAATAGTGTGTGTCTGCTCTCTTTGAAATAAACGCCACTTAGTTTTATATTTTGTCACAGAATTCAAAGATACAAGTTAGGCTTGAGTGCTTTTTAGTATGACTTGTGTGTAACTGAACTTGCCGATCACATTTTGCGGAACAGATTCACATGAAGACTATGCCGGCTGCCATGTACCGCTTGTTAACAGCCCAGGAGCAACCAGTTTACATCTAAAGCTACAACGCTTTCTCAAGCCTCCTGCCCTGTTGTCACCAGATACCTTAATCTTGATGTGAAACTGTCAGCCCTGTGGACTGGTGACTGTGTGACTGAATCCACTGAAGCTCTGCTCAACATGGCTCTCTGTGACGCTTCGGTTTCTCTTCACTGCCTCCCCTGAGTTCTTCATCTCTTCGTTTCTGTTGCTATGAGTGAGTATGCTGTGCTGTGTAATTCCTCTCTCTGTGTGCGCTCAGCTCGCTCCATGGAAGGAAGCTGAGAGAGTGTGAGAAATATTTTAAAAGCCCCATCACAGTAAGTGGTGTCCTTCAAAATAGCTATTGAAACGATATACCCGTATTTACAACACAGCAGTTTGTGGGTGACAAAAAGTACAACTGTGTGATCGTTAGGTGTACAAAATGAAAAAGGAATTTGTCTTATCATACTTTTATGCTGTTATTTATTCAAGCTTGGCAACCATCAAGTGTTTTAGATTCAACTTTAATTTTAAGGGCAGCTGTTAGTCTGAAGAATATGGTGAAAAAATGGCAAAATTCTGGAAAAAAAAATAAATAAATCCATGATTTGGAGTTTGAGTTGAATTGGTCAAAGCCCACAGGATGCTGAATTGGAATTGGAAAGACAAGAAAAGTAATTTACTGAATTACAATTTAAAGACATTCACTAGTTATTATTACATGAAATAATAACGTCATTCATTTTAACTAATTATGTCTATATATTTCCTGACATGTAGAATGTATTTTCTCAAAAGATTTAGCACATTAGAACAGCCACCAAAACAGATTTGAATTTTTTCCATACAAAACCAAAAAGAGTCAATTTGACAGTGTTGGGAATCAACCGTTGATAGTCTGGGAAATCAAGCGTTTTTTTGTTTGTTTGTTTTTTTAATTATGGTCCCTGAAATGAAAGTTAATTTATTAAATATAGTAAAATATATACAATTATGAGTGTAATTTCAAACATTATTCATATTATTTAATGTTTCTGAAAATAGCCCATATGTCGTATGATCATATTTATAGGTCATTTATACGGAAACAAAAAAATATGCATAGATTCCATTTTAATTTTACTTCAATTACAATTCTGCATCCTGTTTGCTGAGAAAGGGACCAAACCATTGAGTCCTTTAAAAAAGGTTTTCTTAACCACAGTTCCTGTTAAAATGACGATGACCTTTTTTGCTCATCTGTGGTGAATAATTCAGTGGGATAATTCATGTCTAGTGTATCTAGGGGTATATGTACAGTAGAGCACATGGAAATTGTGGATGAAATGCCTTACAGAATGATGATGCCATATTTTGAAAAAAAGAAAGTGTTTTGGAGATGCATGGAGGTGCATTTGGAGATCTGAGAATTATATTAGTCAGGTAGTCAGGAGAAAGCAACCTAAAAATTAACTTAAATTGTTGTGTTTTACTGCTTTTTTTCTTTTTTTTTGACATTGATGTGCAATATTTTATTTGTTGTAAATGACTGCATTCCTTATTTTTATGCACAGAAAATCTTCCTTTTTGTCTTAAGCATCTGTATAAAATAATATTGCAAATTAAATATGCTCATATTGGTAGCATTTTCTTTTGAACATTTATACTTGGAAAAACCTTGTGTGAAGAAACTTAAGGTGATATGAATCTTGTTTTGACAGTTTCAGGATGGTTTTGATGAATTCCTTTCTGAGATCTCATTTATCTTTTTTTTTTTTTTTTTACCTTATGAAGTTGAGTCATTACAGGCTTTTTTTAATCAACTACATGTTTAATTCATGTGTGCTACTTTTTCACTCAGTGTTTTTTCACTTAAGAACAGAATGTGTCTTAAAAGAACTGTATTCACTCTCAGAAAGCTGGTACATTTGAGCTGGATTTGCTGGTATGACTCTGTTTTGGCTACTAATCCAGTATAAAGTTTTAGTACAGAGCATCTCAACATGAACCGATTCAAAACTGACTGTGTTTCCAGAGGTTTGCCCTCTCAGACAAACATGATAGTACCATTTTTGCAAGAACTGACCGGTGTTTATCCGTCAGCATGCTTTGGCACATCTCCATTATTACTTACTTACTTAGAGACTGTCTGAAGTCTGTTAAATATCACTATATATGTGATTTTGAAAAAAAAAAAACAGTCTGTCAAACAAGCATGCATAACTTGTCTTAGGAGAAGCTTGTTGCCATGAATTATTGACCACTTTTCCCCCATTTTACCATCAGGCGTGCTTGTGTGTTGCCTGGAATTTCTTTATTTGTGAGAATACACTCACAATAATGAAACTGTCATTTGCAAAGGTATCTTTTTCCATCATATGAATGATACAGCAATATAATTTACATCACAATATGTTGGCATTACTGCAGTGTTGAATCTGTATTAATACTAGAAATATTGTGATGAATTTTATTGCTGTGCAATGACTATTTGATGGCATTATGGATCTTTGAGATGTTACCAAACTCCTTGTAATTGTTCCGCTGGTAAGAAAAGGTACTTCTTATCGCTTAAAATGTGAAATTCACCCCCAAACCACATTCTGACCTCATTATCACTGTATTCTTTTACTAGTGGAGTCAAAAGTCATTAACACACAGGAAGGGCCTCATGTTTCATTGTTTTTTGCTTTATGTGAAGCATGGTCTTTTTGTATGCATTGCTATTTATTGTAGTGAGTGTGATGTGCGATTACAAATGACTTCATTATAAAATAAAACCAGCTAGACACATTATATATATATATATATATACACACACACACATTATATTTATTTACATATAGCATAATATATACAGTATATCCAATTAATATATATCATGTGTACAATAATGAAGGTAAACTGTGCAAAAGTCTTTGACACCAGTGTGCTATTATTTAATATTTGTTTTAAAGCAATAATTCACCCAAAAATGAAAATTTAGCTGAACATTTACTCATCCTCAGGCCATCCAAGATGTAATTGATTTTGTTTCTTCATCAGAACAGATTTGTAGAAATTTAGCATTACATCACTTGCTCACCAATGGATCCTCTGCAGTGAATGGGTGCCGTCAGAATGAGAGTCCAAACAGCTGATAAAAACAACACAAAAATCCACATGTAATCCACACGACGCCAGTCCATCAGTTAACATTTGGTGAAGTGAAAAGCTGTGTGTTGGTAATAAACAAATCCATCAAGACCTTTTAACTTCAAACCGTTGATTGTGGACAAAATACTAGGCCTTAATCCATAATAATGCTTCCTCCAGTGGAAAAAGTTCATCACATATTGTTGTCCTCTCACATCAGAATCCACCACCATATTTGCTTGGAACAGTTTTGGACTGATTTGGCTTGTAAACAGTGCTTGACCTGTGCATATTTCTTTCCCGATTCAGACAAGGTGATTTTTTCACTGGAGAAAGCAATGTTACGGATAGAGGTTTTGTTGGATTTGTTTCTTACAAATACTTTTCACTTTTTTTCTTACAAAGCTTTTCACCTCACAAGACATTAATTGATGGACTGGAGTCATGTGGATCATTGTGATGTTTTTATCAGCTGTTTGGACTCTCATTCTGACGGCACCCATTCACTGGATCCACTGGTGAGCAAGTAATGTAATGCTTAATTTCTCCAAATCCGTTCCAATGAAAAAACAAACTCATCTACATTTTTGATGGCTTGAGAGTGAGTACATTTTCTCTTTTGGGTGAACTATTCCTTTAAGGGGCATCACATCATAATTGACATCTGCAGGCTGAATAACATCATTTTTGCCATAATGTAATTGGTCCGCTTCCACCATGGCGCTGTTTATTGTAAAAATGATGCACAATTTTATTCCGAATTGAAAGAGCAGCTTACATAAAACTATGCTAGTCAACTCAACAATGCAGATGGTTATGTTTTTGGACTGTAAGATTAAAGCATCAACACTTAACTTCAGTGTCCCAGACTTCTGCACTATACAGTACAGGATATGCTGTGTCCGACTCACAATAATGTGCAAGCTTTAATGAGTAATACATTTAAATATATAATATTGGAGAAACAAAACAAGTGGCTTAATGTGTTATTGAAATGACACAGGTATGAAATATCAGTGTACATATGCAACGCAGGATGTGCAGAGTATAGGACGGGTTCAACAGATTCTCACCTCATGACTGTAGAATACAAGGCCTCAGCAGAGTATGTGGTTTATACTGAAGTAGAAAAGAAACTGTGGGTTTGGTTAGTATTTATAATGCACTTGCTCTGAATGTAATTACAATTATATGTTTGTCAAAGTAAAAACACACGTTCTGTAAAGCAATAGCAATAGCAATGTTTATTTATTTGCTAGCTTTTCTGTGATTGAACTATTTAGACGCATTCCTTTACCATAGCAGGAATGTTTGTAACAGTATTTACGACATTAAACAAGCTACTGAGAGCGTATGCAACTAGAATGTCTCTTTAATCTCTTAATTTTATGTTTTTGAAAGAAGTCTCTTGTGCTCACCAAGGCTGCATTTATTTGATCAAAACTACAGTAAAAATAGTAATATGTGAAATGTTATTACAATTTAAAATAACTGCTTTCTATTTTAATATATTTTAATGTCTAATTTATTCATGTGACGGTAAAACTGAATTTTCAGCAGTCATTACTCCAGTCTTCAGGGTCCTTCAGAAATCATGCTAATATGCGGATTTGCTGCTTAAGAAACATTTCTTATTACCAGTGTTGAAAACCGTTGAGCTTAATGTTTTTGATGCTACTTTTTTGTCAGAACTATTTGATATAAAAAAAACTTGAAACAAATCTTTTTCAAAATTCTTCTTCATTATTAGCTGTCACTTTTTATCAATTTAATGAAGCCTTACTGAATAAAAGTATTAATTTCTTTATCAAAAAACTTGAGCCCAAATATTTGAAAGGTAGTGTATAATAAAAGGTTTTATTTAAAAAAAAAAAATTTGTGTCAATGACAAAATGTCAATATTGACTGAATGAATACCACAGACAACAGGCAGATGCTTTAAAGATCATATTTAATCTTGGGGAAATATGGATAGTAGGTTAGGTCACCCATATAATGCAGATGAGCCAATTCAGTAATAAAGCACAAAATCTCAGAAGGACATCTTGGGAGAAATAATAAAATAGTTGAGAATGGTCAAATAAAAAGAAAAAAATCACAAATTCATCTTCTACCTCACAATATGCTGATTTAATCATCCCCACATCAATCCCCACATCACATAAACTAAATAAAGCCATACATTTGCATGTTTTTCTTATAATGATTATTAATATTGTATTTTTCATATAGTTAATTTGTGTAAATAAACATTTACCAGGAATTTTTTTCGCAGTGTTTTATCATAATGCATAATGTGGAAAAAGTAAAAACAATCATCAGTAAATCCAAACAACTGGAATTCCAACTGAAAAAGCTAAAAAAAAAAAGATGAATAATATTCACTATACACACTGACAACAAAATCAGATATGTTTTAAAAGTGAAGTGAAATCCTCTGTCAGCTTCCTTCATGTTGTGATGTTCACTATACCTTCACTCGACTGGGACACGTCACTCAGAGGACAGTTTCTTGGAAGACTCCTATAAGGCTGTGTGGACGCTCCTGTTCCAGGCGGCGGGATCCTGCCCGAGAGCCCATCCTGGAATTAGTTTGAGAATGGGTGCCTGTCCTGTGCTCCGGCCCGTCCTGCAGTTGCGCCCAGGTGAAGGAGCTGAGGTCACCACAGCTGCGCAGGTGAAGGATGCCCGGCCGTTTGTGCAGCGTGTTGGAGGTGGGCTCCATCTGCGCCTGCCTGCGGAGGGTGGACTGCGCTGGTGCAACCTCTGAAACTGTGATGGCCTGCAAACATTCATGAAAATGAGCAAAAATGGCCGAACAGGATATTGATCCTGCTGTATCATATTTGATATGTACATTTCTAAGGCCTCATAACTTTGCTCAAAAACCTATTGTACATATTCTACTACAACCTTCTGTTGTCTGATTGATAGTTTATACTTTTTTAGCAGGTAAAAGGCCTTTTAGTATAATTGTAAAAATGTCCATGTTCAGGTCGGTACACGTCTTTTTCCCGTGAAATATTTACTGATTTTTATAAAGTAAATGTAAGAATAACGTTTATATTGTTAGTAATACTTAAAAATGAACACTCACTAGACCGAAGAAACTTAAGTTTACTTGATTATCCATTCCATACATAATGTTTTAGAAAAATCATGTTAAAATGTGAGTATCAAAAATGACATATCAAGCTTTTGAGGAACGTTTATTTGTACATCTCTCCAAGAGCATTGTATTGCATTGCATCGTATGTTTTGTCCCCCTCAATAAAAACTACAGAGCTTTGATCAAAAAAGAAACATTTAAACATAATCTTACTAAGAAATATTATTGCGAGATATAGAGTAACAACTAATATTTATATGCATTTTATGTAGTCTGCTATGCTGTTATAAAGTGATTTAAATTACAAGCTAAAGCATGTCTTCTTACATTTTGTCCATAAAAATATCAGCACCAAATTGCATATTTTTGCTCAATTTGCACCTGTAAATATGCTTTTTTTCCTCCTTGATTATAAGCTACATATTCTCTAATGTCTTAATATATGAGCCATAAAAGCCTGATGTGTTTAACATGATACTGAACAAAAAAAAAACTGACTATTATCATATGTCAGGCTTTACAGTTTTAAAAGGTTGCGAGTCGGATTCAAACTCAACTCACCCCCTTCAGCATCAAAGCTCTACGTATCCGAGCATGTGCTTTAAGCACTAGGTAATTTTATGTGTTTTCATCCCATGTGTCTTGCCTGGTCGATGAAGCTGGCGCAGCGAACGGCCTCCTCCATGTGTTCCTCGTCGGAGCGCAGCACTGTTTTGATGCTGTTGACCAGCTCCTGTACCTCAGGGGTCAAGATGCAGGAGGACTGCTTCAGAAAACGGGCCACCAGCAGTTTTGTGTCTCTATAGCTCTGGTAGTCCACCATGGAGTTGGGACGAGGCTTCCGTTTGCCACGGCCCTGTCGTAGTGTAACCGTCCCATGCTCTGTTACAGTCACTGAGCCTAATTCTGTCTGAGTAGCTGCTTCACAACTCATTACTGTAAGAGAGAGAAAAAACAATATAACAATGAGATGCAGCTCCATATGGTTTTGATAAATATTTGTAGAATGATGTACACTCACAAGAGATGAAAAATACACAAGTGGGGCTACATAGTTTGGGGTAAAAAAAAATCAACTTGCAATTTTTTTGATAAAACAACAATAATAATAATAATAAAATTATTAATATTATTATTAAACAAATATTGCTATTGTAATATTTCACTGTAAAATACTGAAGTCAAGTATTTAAGAAATATAATAATTAAAATATTGATATTTATTTCTGTCTTAAAGGGGTCATATGATGCTGCTAAAAAAAACATTATTTGGTGTATTTGGTGTAATGATTTGTTTATGCGGTTTAAGGTTCAAAAAACACATTATTTTCCACATACTGTACATTATTGTTTCTCCTCTATGCC